TCTTAGCTGGTCAGGCTGGAAAATCACCAGCTTAAACCAGCCTAGCTAAACCAGCTGGTTTAGGCTGGATTTTTCAGCAGGGAGGCGATGATGGACAGAGGCCAGTGGGCAGATTTGGCCAGGATGCTGGGGTTAACCCCTACTCTTTTTCCAAGGACATCCTGGAATTTTTAACGCCCACAGAGAGTCAGGACCAGGTCTCATCTGAAAGACGGCGCTCACTGAGGTGTATAGAGTCCCCTTCAATATACTGGGGCGTTACGACCCACACAGACCGCAGGTTGAGCGCCCCCTGCTGGCCTAACTAACACCACTTCCGGCAGCAACCTAGCTAGCAAGAAGGTTTCTGGTTCGAGTCTCGGCTGGGTCAGTGTGTGTTTCTGTGTGGAGTTTGCATGTTCTCCCCATGTTGGCGTGGGTTTCCTCCGGGTGGTCCGGTTTCCCCCACTCTCCTGTGGCTCAATATTAACTACACTAGGAGTGAGTAAGTAATTTAACTGTGGGTTCACCAGGCAGTTTCAGGATTGCATGTTCATTTAGACAGGACTTTAGTTTTTGATGAACGTGCAAATATGGCCGCAGAGTAAGCAGACTTTCCCTGAAAGAGACTCGGTTTGAACCTTTTGCTTGGTTTCATCACTTTAGTATTGATTTGTTGCTTAATAACTGATCAGAACCCTCTCTGACCTGACGGCTTAATGCAGGGATGTCCAAGCTCAGTCCTGGAGGGCCGGTGTTCTGGAGAGCTTAGCTCCAACCCTAATCAAACACACATGAGCCAGCTAATCAAGCTAGTAGTAGATACACTAGAAACTTCCTGGCAGGTGTGTTGAAGCAAGTTGGAGATAAACTCTCCAGGACAGCGGCCCTCCAGGACTGAGCTTGGACACCCCTGGCTTAATGTGTCCTTGCCTTTAGGGTCTCCACTATCAGGTGCATTTGACTAGAGAGACCAAGATAAGGTCAGTTATTAAGGGAACTACAGAGTCAGGGTTGTTGTACAACACACACACACACACACTCTGTTCTGAAGCCTATTGAGCTGCTTGACCGATCAGAGGTCGGTGGTCTGCAAATGACTTCATTTACGTTGCTTCATTGAGCCAGATTGCAGCATTTCATTTCACTTTTCACTGTAAAATCTCAATATTTATGCTGTTAGCTTAGCAACAAGATGATGTGGAATGGTGATCCAGCTTCAATTAATTATTTGGCTCTTCTTATGTGGAAGTTGTCAAAACAGTGACTTGAGAAATAATTAGAGATCCTGCCTATGTAGACAGCAAGATATCTCGCTAGTTTTAGGAGCAGAGATATGGTCTTCATTATACATGTGTGTCACAATTTATAAACGCTTCAGTGTCTTGAATGGGTCTGTGGACACACACACACAGAGTATAAAGGTCAAAGCAGCGCATGCTAAAGGTGTAATGGGGATCTGATGGCCATATGGAGGTGAAGAAACAGAGGAGCCGGCCTGAGTGCACACAAACATAAAGCACAGGTGGTTTCAGGACAGACAGAAGGGCAGAAAATCCCACCGGAGTGCAGTATTAGGACACGTCCACATGTACACTGCAGTTTTTCCCGCCTTGCAGTCTCCGTCCACATGACAATGCAAAAGCTGAACTTTCATGCACTTTCAAGGGCACGCCACACCAACATCCAGAATAATGAGCCCTTTATTCTGGGTTCACTCCAATCATGCAGGTTTTATTCATTGTTTTATTTTTCATCATCCTTTATTTATCCAAGAAGAATCCCATTGAGACACCACAGTCTCTTCATCCAGGGAGACCTTGGGCCTCATGTATCAACGCTGCGTACGCACAAAAGCTTTGCGTACGCCAGGTTTCACACTCAGAATCGCTCACGTTTGGATTTACTAGCGATGAACTGAAGGTGGGAATGTGCGCAGCTTCACGGCAGCTTTCTGGCAGGCGTACGCACATTTCTTGTGCGTGTCTGTTTTATTTCCATTGGCGACTCCTAGAGGCAGGTGTTTTAATTTCCTCTCTACAAAGTGTCTGAGCCTTGCAATGGCAGCTGTATGAGACGGGTTCATCTAGCAGGTATATAAGATTTCCATACCATACATTTGACCAGCTAAACATTAAAGCACAATCTGCAGCGGTCGCCTGTTTTCCCAATGTAATCTGAGCGATCTACTGCACACACAGTGCTATAAAGACACTATCTGAAGATGAATTTGCATAACCGCATCCGCTAAACTCTCCCACTCTATTTTTTTCTTCTGTTGTTAATTCCGGAGAACAAACTTGCAAATAACACCGATTTCCTCTGGTCTACCTCTGAAAGCAGCACCTCCAATTCACATTCTGTTCAGAGTTTCTCTTCTTGCTTGCTTTTGCCGTTGCTTTTTCATTGGGTTTTGCCAAAGTAGAGTCATTAGCATAT